CTCAGCGATGAATAAGATATATAAGCAACATCTCCGAAACATATTTAATCTTATATACAATATAATAATAATATAAACAATACAATATAAATATATAAAAGGAAGGAAATGGTCCGGGGTGGCGGTCATAAATAGGCTGAATAGTGGCAAAGCTATTTTATTAAAAGCCAACGTTTCGATCCGACTTCACTTGAAGTGAAACTGCTAGCTGAACACACCTCCCTGAAGAGGACCTGCAAAGTCGGGTCGAAACGTTGGCTTTTAATAAAATAGTTTTGCCACTATTTAGCCTATTTATTACTAGCCATCCCGGACCATCTCCTTCCTTTATAATGCAACGGTCAACTATTAAATATTAAATAAATATATAAAAAACTGGTGCGCGCAACACACAACTTTCACTTACCGATCTATTATGAATAGAAATTATTTTCTGGCAATGCTGGGCTATTATAAATTTTTTTGAAGTGCATTTTAAACGGAGCTAAAGCTTAAAGCTTACATATAACAAGTCATTAAGACCATTATAATTACAAAATGTCTATTTAATATATCGACGACAGGCAATAAAAATCTAGTCACTCCATCTGCTTTTATAAACCACACAACTTTTTTTGCTTTTATAAATAAATTTGCTTCTATAAATTTTATAAACCTCACAATGACTAACTCCAATTTCAACATGTTTGAGTGAGGCCATTTTAATGATATTTTTAGTTGAAAAAGTCATATATACAGAATATGATTAAGTTTATTCCGGAGGTAGTGATTTCATTGTTGAAATATTTTTTTTTTATGAAAAATGTTCTTAGGAAAGATACTTTATTAAATATCTGTAAAAAAAAGGTTTTTTTAGTCTCAACAATTAAAAAAGTATATTTTAAATTTATCCAAATTTTCGCCTCTTCAAGGAAAAAAACTAGAGACCATATCTTTTCTCCTAATTGTCCGATCTTAACGATTTTTTTTGTTGGTTTTTTAGGAAATTCCATAAACTTTCAAATACCAAAAAAACTTCGTTGAAGTATGTAATATAGATAAATTTAAAGGGTGTCGAGAAAATGACTTTAGCGAAGTTTCATTGAAATTGGTACATTCGTTTAGGGGCAACTCAGCTTTTTCTGTATTTTTATTTTTTTTTTCTCCTTTATTAACTTATAAAATTCTTTCAAAAGTTATATTTAGCATTTTTTCGTAACTTTGAATAATGTGAAATGATTAAGTTTTTAAAATAAACCATATTAAAGGTACTTTAGAGGAAGACGTATATGAACATTGGGCATTTAAGCCCTTTAAAGTTACATCAATGGGGATAAGACCTAATTGGTATTAAAGACCACTTAATTATACAATGATACACCGAGTTTCATCAAAATCGTTAGAGCCGTTTTTGAGAAAATTGAGAAAATGTGTTTCAGCGTTGATATAAAGTGGCACTTCCGGTTAGCCGATTTTAAGGAAAAAGTTGCCGTCACATCTAAGGCATATACTTATCTTAAATATGTAACATCAGTTTCGTAGGACTTTTCGTTTTTGAGCTAGACTGCTGACATACAAACACACAGACACACAGACCATTTTTCGTGACTTGGTCATTTCGACTAAGGGTTCCTCAAAACGTGTATTTCCGTTGAAAACTCAGATTTAAAAATTTTCTCGATCGCTATACTTACCCTTAAAGTAAAAATAACAGACACTTGAACAGTGATTTGTAAATATTGTATTCAAGTTTTTGCATTTCTTTGAATAAACTTACACGTAAGTAACATTTAAATAAAAATAAATATGCATACATTTAAATTAAAAATATATTTTATTGTTTACAGCGTTTTTAGTGCACCTATTGTAGGTAAATTTTTTTATCTATTGAACCCATTATTTCTCCACTTGGCAATTTTGCACACGTTTAGCCACTATATACTAGAATAACATATATTTTTAAAATAAAAATTGAAAGGACTTTTTTTTTCAAAATTATTTTTAAAAATGTTTTGATTATCTTTAAAAAATATTATAATTTTAGAATATAGTCATGTCATGTATATCAGAAGAAAGAGCATAAACAACCAAAAAATATGACACCGTTTTCAGATTTCTTGTTTAAATATTTCTTGAGAAATAGTCCTAAAAATATTTTCAAAACACACCGTTTTTCGAGGTATTTCGTTATACGCATGCGTGTTTTTTTTCTACTATAATGATGCATGAATTGAAGAAACTTCGCCTGATTAACTATTCACCTGTATGTTGGAGACTCGTGGCTCTATAGTTTGAATTTTTCCATTTATAACGTAGATATTAAATTTAATTTAAATTTACCTAGACTTATTTGATATATGTCAATTTTTCCAAAGTCAGAATGTCGGAGGTATACAAATTGATGGGTCCTATGACATTCTCTTACTTCTTTATGCGGACAATTTAATAATTGTTGACGACAGCTATACAGATGTAAAAAATAACTTAAAAATTCTAAACGAATATTTCTCAGTAAAAGGGTTAGAGGTAAATATTAAAAAATCTAAAATATTATATTTTCACAAGAGAGCATGTACCTGCAAAAAGGTAGGTACATTTTTTTTAATGAAAATACCGAAAGCGAAAAGATCCCCGTCGAGTACATTTATCTAGGAGAGCCATTCGCGGATTCTGGATTGTTTTATAGATCCTCTAAGTACTTTCAGTCTAAGACCAAGGCCGCGATAGGCTCTGTTATTAAAATCTGTGCTAAATCGAAACTGAGATCGTGGGATAACAGAATAAAAGTAAATAATTTAATTTCAATTAGTATCCTACATTATAATGTTCAACTCTGGGGTCTAAGATATATAAATACGCTGGACAACGTAAGTCTAAATTTTGATGAACGTTTATTTTAGCTAAATGAAAATTGCCCATTTTGGTTAATGAGATTGGAGTTTAATGTCCTTCATTGTTCAATTATGATCTTAAAGTTGGCACTGTCTTGGGTGTTTGATACATTTTGAAAATGGAAATCGATATATTCCCTAAAATTTGTTTTAATAAGTTGAATATATATTAGTCGCAAAGGGGATCATAAGTTCAATTTGTTTAATCAGTAATACACTCTGTTGTGCTCTGTAAATAAACAAACCATTATGGAATTAGGAGACGCAGGTACATTCCTGCTAGAAATGAATGAAACGATACGCCTGTTTAAAAGCCACATGGAGGAGCAATAACATATCCATGATTTAATTTTTTCGGTGGGGGGCTTCAGCCCCAAATATTTTTGTTCGTATGTAGAAGAAGAAGAAAAAGTCTTTTTATTTATTGAGATTACATAATATCAATTACAAAATAATTGGATTGGATTTTTAGATTTAAAACCGAAAATCAGACGTGCTACGTGGTCTGTTGGCCGTCAAATGAGGCTATGTTTTATAAAAACATTATATCTCAATCTATTTATATACAAATAATTAATAAGAAAATAAGAACAATTATATTTACAATGTAAAAGTTATATAAATATTTTAATTACAAAAAGAGTTGTACTTAAATTCTCCAATTTATTAATTGTTAAATTCTCTAATGAGCATTATTCTATAGGAAAAACAGACTTGTAGTAATTTACCAATGCTATCCAATTGTTTTCTATTTATTAAATCTATTATTTGATCCCGAGATAAATTTCTAGATTTTAACCATTTAATTCTAAATTCAGAGAGTATCGGACAAGCAGCCAGGAACTGTTCGTATGTATATATTAGGATAATTACTTCGGAAGAAAGAAATAAACTAACTACCTATATGAAATGGTGTTTAAGTGATTCTTTAAGAACTATTAAATGTTACGGATTAAATAATACGGTCCTATTAAATAATACGGATAATAATACTTTTAGAGATATTTTTTTTCATAAAACATGATTATATTTTACCATTTTTTTTGGAGGGGGGAGAGGCTTCAGCCCGAAAGAACCCTCCCCCGCCCGAAGATTCGCCTGTGTTGAGGAGTGTGATAAACAAAAACTGATTACCTCTATTAGGTAGAGTCCAATATGTACACAGAGTAAGAATCAGTCTTATCCCGCATTAAATGCTCCGTTTCCTACGACTTATAGGAATAAGTACTTAAAAGCATTTATCACTGAATCCAGGGAAGATGTTAATGTAGAGGAGATAGTGATAATAGACACTATGAAAAAATTAAATAAATTGTATTATTTCATACAGGGCTGTTCATTGAACTGTTAAGTGGTATAGTTAATAGTATAAACATATATGAATGCTTATTTATATTGTTATTTCTTTTATACCTCTGGAATATTAAAAAAAAAAGGTTTTACTGATTATATATATATATATATATATATATATATATATATATATATATATATATATATATATCGTTTACTAACCTGTTATTATATTCGACATACTAGATTCAAGATCTAATATTGTTAATCATACCATTATATTTATTTTTACAGGGATTTTCTTAGACAAATAAAATAAACTATTTTATTCTGTTCAAGTCAGCACGTTAGGTAAACGAGAGATAAAAAAAAAGAAAGGGAAAATGAAAAAGAAAGAGGTGTGGAGTGCTGAGTGAGAGGTTGAGACATTTTTTAAGATTCCTTCTTCAGAGAGAAAACATGTGAGTTTCCCTAAGATTTTTTCATCATTTCCCAAAGCAAACGGTTTCCTCTTATGTTTCATTCTCTGATGTAAAAGGCACAAATCTCGAAGATATAGACCACTGTCATTCTCTCTCCACACTTCTGACAAACGGGCCGGTTTTCTTTCGTAATTAAGTGAAGGTGCGTAAGCCTGGTATGACCTATTCTTAGTCGCGTAAGGACAACTTCCTCTCTGGGTTTACTGCGACTGGAACTGGATAATTTATAACTTGAACTGGATTTCTAAAATTTTTTATATCAACTTTTTATTATTACTGTTCAATATTATGGCCAACTCTATTTATCTGATATAATACCTGGATACTTTGTTTAGATAATAATGACAGTACTCACCGCGTTGATATAGTTGATCAACGAAAGTCCTCCATCCCAGGGCATTTCAGAGGCGCAGGAGACGTTGGCTAGAGAGAGAGGATGGGACTGTTCCAATGTCTGCAGTCCTATCACGAACACAACGACGGAATCGTACATCAGAGCTGGTTCAGCCTAGAATGTATCAATTAAATATATTAAACCATACATAAATATATAAGAGGAAAAACAAATATTATGCACATACTTCGATGGACTTGGTCTTGTTGTAAGACCTAGCGTAAGGTTGGAACTTATTCATGTCCCGGAGGATCTCCCGTACTCCAAGATCTTCGACGTCCACGAGTCGGAAGGCGGTCATATTTACAAAGTGGTACTTGAAGTCTTCAAGATCGAACGTCTCAATATCCTTAAAATGAAATATTTTTTATTTATTATATGTGTATTTTTTTTTTTTAGTTTCATGAATGGATAAAACTGTACTTACAAATGACGTGAATAAATAATGATATTTATAATCGTTCATTTGGAGCTGGATGACCTGAAAATAATATTAGATTGTAAATCAAAGGAAATATAAAATAAGAGAAATTTTAATTTTCTAACACTTATTTGTTCAAAAATCATTTTTGTTTTAAATCAACCATTTATTTATCAATAGCTCGTTTAACTTATAAGGATAAATAGATCTTGAAGTCGTCAAAATATGGATGGTGTGATTCGTGAATCGAAGAAATAATGATCTTTCCTTATTTATGTATAATGTATACATTATCTTTCTAATTCCATCTACCACAATTCACACCATCTATAAGCCCACGAATTCCAGATTTATCAGAATCCAGATTCTAGAATACCAGGATCAGTGCCGCGGTAAGTTTGAATAATTTAAGGCTAAACGCAATAAGAACTTAGACTATTTTTATAGATTCTAGTTTTCTCCTTAAATCCTACTCCTTCCTCCCTCCTTTAGTCATCAACGATCATCCATCACATTAATCTCCTCCGTTAAAAACCTAGGAATCACCATAGACGAAAACCTCTCCTGGAAACCCCATATCGCCTTCATCTCCCAGAGGTCAATAGGTATCCTTAAGTTATTTCATCGCTCCCGCCACCAACTCCCACAACTTATCCGCAAAATCCTTGTATCCTCTCTTGTGTGGTGTTCCGAGGCATCCCGATAGATTGAAGGCATCCCGGTACTTGAGGATAGATTGAAGCAACTTATGAACTTCTTAAGATTTGTCTTCGATACTTCGAGGCGGTCTCATATGTCCCACCTTTATTACATTAAAGTGACTATATTTATAGCTCTAATTATTTCAGGAATCAAAAGATTCGTATTTATAAATGTTTTTTATGAATAGTATATGGTATAATAATAGTAATAATCATCTTTATTTATACATACAATATGAAAAAATCTGGTGCGCGTAACACACAACTTTCACTTACCGCTCTACTTAGACTAGAAGTAATTTTCTGGCGATGTTGTGCTATTATAAAATTTTTGAAGTGCATTTGAAGCTGAGCTAAAGCTTAAACCTTACAGATAACTAATCATTAGGACGATTAAAATTACAAAAAGTCTATTTATTATATCAACGGCAAGCAATAAAAATCTAGTTACTCTATCTTCTTTTATAAACCACATAACTTCAGTCTCTGAGCCTTTCAGTTGACAGAATGACTAACTCCAATTTCAACATCTTTGAATAAAATCATTTTAGTGATATTTCTGGTTGCAAAAGTCATATCTATACAGACAGTGAATAAATTGATTCCAGAGTAAGTGATTGCAGTATTGAAATATAGAACTGTATAGAAAGGTAAATTTTGCCTCTAGAAACATCACTAAAATTAATAATAAAGAATGTTGAAGTTGGAGTTAATCATTCTGTGAACCGAAATGCTCATATATGCCTAGAGAGATTTGAAAGCACATCTGAATATTTAACCTATAAATGATTATGGATTGTAGGGATATTAGTTACTAAACTGTTATTTTCCATTGTAATATTTAATAAAATGATATTACGAAATTTTCATTGCCTGCCATGGATATGTCAGAAGTTGGATAAAGGAAAATTCATCAAATAATTCACTAATTTAATTTTCTAAAACGTTATTTGATGATTTTTGGAATAAACGATCAATAGATGCCCAATTATTTAAATATAATATCATACCAGGAGTTATTAAACTACAGTAAATGTATATAAGGTTATAAATATATCCATGAAATATTTTAATATTTCACTTCTTCTTTTACACAAGTATAATGAATTAGAATTTTAAACTATGAAATTGGCTTAATTCGTTGGATTTTAAATATAGAAAAAATGTAAAAGTTTACATTAAGTAAGAAAACTTCATTTAATTTCCTTGGAAGCATGTAATTTACGTTAAATAAGGTTAGTTTTCTGAAATTATTATTTATATATTTTTCGTCACTCTCCGTTACCGTCTAAAAACTTATTTATTTGGTGATATTTTATCTAAAATTCTCCGCTTTCCAACGATATATAATACGTATACCTTCAGAAAATTATTTCCGGCGATTCATTTTCAACCTGGTTAAGTATTTTTCTTTTTTTCTCCAGCTTCCAATTATCATATTCTTTCAAACTTCATATATAGCCATTTTTTAATAGTTAATGTCAATAAAAGAGAGTTATCTTTTAAAAATAAAACATATTAAATGTACTTTAGAGGAAGACGCATATGAACATTTGCCATTTAAGCTCTGTTAAGTGACATCAATGGGAATAAGAAATAAATGATATTAAATACCACTTAATTATACAATGATACATTATTTTAATCAAAATCATTTCATCAGTTAAATCAAAATCGTTAGAGCTATTTATGAGAAAATTGTAAAAATGTGTTTCACCGTTGGTATAAAGTGTCATTTCCGGTTAGCCGATTTTAAGCGAAAAGTTGCTGTCACATCTGAACCATATACCTATCTTAAATACATAATATCAGTTTCGTACGACTTTCCGTTTTTCAGCTAGACTGTTAATATATAAATAAATAATATATAGGTAAGTGAAAGTTAAAATATAAACTTCATATATCGTTTTATACTTAATATTCACGAATGTACAAAAACAAAATTTTTGTTGAGCGTTTCTTGATGGATTCTTAATATCAAATGATACATTTTTATAATATAAGTTTACTTTAGCCCTCTTCCATTCTTCAGGCAAGGCGCAACTTCATGGAAACTTCTTATCGCAATAACAACGAAACATTCCAGAGAATTAAGTTCCTGGAAGCGATTAGACTGTTGTTTTCTCCTGGAATTTTATTCAAAACTTCCAACCAATCTGTCTTATATCTACAAAACAAAATGTTGAAGAACAACTTAATCCATAGTAATATAACTGGGAAATTGGATCGTCATAAAGAATATAAGTATCATAATAAAAATATTAACGAGGCCGGGATCGAGTGAAAAAGTGTTATAGCTGGAAAATCGTAAAAGGAGTTGCTACAAAGAATTTTTACTGCACTTTCTATATTCACATTAGTATCAATAAATTGTAGTACGTTTTGGAGGATAAAAATAACAATGTAACTAAAAGGGGAGAATTTTGAAGTAGGATCAACATTTTTTTTTCTAATGTTTTTGAAAGTATTACAAATATTATTGATACTTAATCCTCGGCTCATTCTCCACTGGTCTTTAATACCAGTAATGCGGCTGAATGAGAGGCGCTGGGATCTGCATAAGTCCTTCCTCGCCTTCCACGAGTGAAGGGAAAAGCTTAGCTCGATTTTGACATTCATTGCATGGGTCTTTTGCAACATTAGTCCAGCCAGTTACTTTATTGTAACTGTTATATAAAAGTAACGGTTACATTTGAATCAATGTTGTTATTCTTCTGTTATATAAATATCTGTTATTCTTCTATTTTACAGGGTGTCCCGTAAGTGGAGGACAATTTTTATAGCAGAGATAGCAGACATTGAGAGCTACAAAATAGTTCATATAAAAAATGAGCCTATTTTCAGCAGAAAAGTTAGAAATCCAAGTTTTGTGGGTTTTTTTAAGTAAATCACGTTTTTGTTAAATAGGAAGCGATAACTAAATAAATATTTAATTTGAATTATTAATAATTGCTTCGGTATAAACTTGACAAAAACTTACTGCAAATGAAAATGAAGTTTTTCATTATTTTAAAGCAATTTAAAGACGACTTTTGAACGGTTAAACTAAACTCAGTTTTTAGTAAAATCATAAATTTTTTAAAATTTATTTATTTATTTTTTATTTACTTATTTAGAAATATAAAAATCGGTCACCTGTAAAATAATTATTGTGATATATGAACACATTCATACCATATATACAGAAAATATAAAATTAAAAAAAGTAAAATAATAATCTAAAACTATGTACAATAAAAAATAAAATAACCTAAAGATAAGTAAATTAGAAACATAAAAACACAGTCACATCTATATACAATTACAAAATTATGAGCGATATTTTTTTTAACCATTATTCGATTATACTACAGATACCACACTATTAGAAAAACTTCCTCGTTTATTAAGTTTTAAGCCCATTCAGTACATTTCTACATTGAATTTTGCTTATTACTTTCCTACCTATACTAGGTAAGGAAAGTATTGCAATCGAATCAAATTTCCGACATGCGGTTTTCGACGGATCTATACGTTTCAGAGCTCCCTGAGTCCGAAAAACACATTTTTAGCCATTGGTCTGTCTGCCTGTGCCAAGATTTTCTCGGGAACTACTGAACCGATTTTGTTGCATCTTTTTTTATTTTTTAGGGTTTTGACCACAGATGCCTGTGACAGAAATTCGGTGCTCCATGCGCAATAGCTTGCGCGCAATAAATGAAAAACACGTTTTTCTATAGACTGTAGCACAAAAACGGCTTTAACGATTTTGATGAAACTTTTCTTGAAAAACACGCCGTTTAGCCTATCGTTTGAAAGGTAATGAAATTTCCTACAAAGCCGTATAAAAATCGTTCATTTTGGACAACTATTAACGAAGTTACGGCTATTCAATTTCTAATGTAAGATTACGGTTTCATATCCTGGTGTCAGAAAGAGGTGAATGAGAGAATAAAGATGACTAAGTGAAAGTAAGAAAATCTGTTGCCCGCATCACACAATCTTCACTATTTCCTCTACTTTTAACAGAAATTACCTACCTTAAGCCGGTTTACATTGGTTTAGTTTATCAAATAAATCGTACTCAAATCTTATGTTTGATCAATTTTCAGGAAAATGTATCTAGTTCAATTATGTTTTGTTTCATCATGAACATATGTAAAGATATAAAAACGTTTCTGAAATAGGTAGGAAAGTCGTGTGAGTGGACACACCAGATATTTTTTTGTTTCTATTCTGTTCATGATTATCGGGTATGTTTCCTGACCATGATCCTTTGGGTTAATTATTATAATTGTTAAGTATGATAAGTCACAATGAATCTTTATACGTTTAATATTATAGACAAAAAAATATTATAATAATTAATTAGCTAGTAAA